ATAGTTTCACTAACGCCAGGTCTCCTGTTGCCCGTTTCCCGTATCAGACGGAATAACTTACGATGGTTGCCAAGGGCAGCGGCCACTTCCATCTCTGACGCACGATGAGACCACCAATATTCGCAGTCTCTCATCAGGCTAGCACGGAGTCTTTTCCGGAGTTATTTGCAAGTTTCATTGTGTTCGTTTCCAGCCGGGATATGCCGGCGAGCGTCGATAAGTTCCAGAGACTGCGAAGAGACCCAATATCCATGTTGGCTATTAGACATACCACATGAGGATTTGCCTGCTGGTAGTAAGGTCTGGCGAACATGTGACCAGTGACCATCAATTGTCTCCAGTGAGCGCTTACTCAACTCGCATGTCAGTGTATTTCGATATGCATTCAGAACAGCTAGCTTTGTCAGCTGGCTGGTGTCAATGCATTCACAGCGTCGTCGTGAGCGTCCGCCAAAACGCATCCGCATGTCAGCACATACAAGTGCATGATCGGTGTCCACACATATGCTCCAAATCGAGCGACAGTTCCGGATGCAGCCTCTCCAGCGGTAACTCACAGCAATGTGATCGATCTGCGTCCACGGTTGATTCGAGGCTGGTGGCTGTCAAGTCACCCTCCGGCGAATGCTGTGTCAGAAGTTAGTACTCGCAAGAAATAAGCGAGCATCTTCACACAAATGAAGTAACCGCTCACCGTTATCATTACGGGAGTCTACACCATGCTGACAGCCCAGATGCATTTCATCAGTGGACAACTTTCCAACTTGCGCGCTAAGATCCCCCGCCAGCACAACAGCGTCGAGCTTCCTCTGTGGCGAAAGAGCTGGGTCAGTTGGCGATAAAAGTTGTTTTTTACCGAATCATCGCTAGTTTGTGGGTGCGTAGGCAGCGGGGATGAATAGACACCTATTGGTCCAGCGCGACTTCGAAGCTTTGAAGGAGCCAACTAATCGGACCGCATACATTCGACTACTGATTGGAATCCAATCAACCAGAGTGGCTTCAGCCCGGGGACTCAGGGTAATGCCAAAACCAGCTTGGCCGGTGCTCGGAGCTCCATCGTCACCGGATAGGCGCAATGAGAAAATACTGCTTGCGTCACCTGAAGCGGATCGCAAAGAGAGCACAGAGCTCGAGTCTTGCAGGCGGGTCTCTGATAAGCAGCAGATATCGATCGAGAGGGTCTTCAATGTTCGGGCAAGTGCTGTCTGTTGACCGATCTGTAGCAATGTGCGTACATTGAGGTATGTCAACCTGAAGGAGGACCGAGGGCTCCAAATGAAAGCCGATGAACTGGAATGGACCGCTTGTTTGGACATGGGCTTGTTGACAGCAGAGGAGTGACGCACCGAGTTGGCATGTGAGTTGAAATTAGGAGATAAACGCCTACCAAAGCATGTTGGGGGAGGGCCAAGAATGGGGGGGGGGTTGAAAACTGGGGGGGATAAGAGTGAAGTTGGAACGGGACGGTAAGTCTGAAAAAGCGTAAAAGGGGGAATAAGAAGACGGGAAGGCTTGAGTAGTAGCATCCAAACCCTTATCCACCCTGCTCGATGCAGCAGATAGGGCATCGTTGATTATCACCTGCGGTGGCCAGAGCATCAGAAATTTTGATTGTGATTCATTGTATTGCATGGGCAGGATACTGTCAGGTTGCCCAGGCCTAGACAGGAGAACGATTAGGGTTCTCAACCGAAGCCTTTGGTTCAAAAACCTGACCGCAAGACAGCGGGTTTGGCGTTGGGCTATAAGGTGTACGTTTTAAGGAATAAGGTGCCACCCTCATTCCAACCCCCAAGCTGGAGGACCAGGAGGCTGAGTTTGTCTGGCCTCTAACCATTGACCAATCTGGTATGAGTGACTGAAGGTGCAAAAGCACAACCCAGCATAGCTCAATGAATCGCTGAGGCACACAAACCATCGCACCACGGTAGGGTCCAGCCTCAATGCGATGCTCGCCATTACTGTTTCTATAAGTAACACTAGCTCATCGCCCAGACTGTCGGCCGAACAAATTCGTCTGGCACGACTAACTAGAGTCTTCACAAGTGTCCGTTTGGATCGCACTGCCGTGAAACTGGTGAAGTGCAGGTACTGACCGGACCAAGTTGATTTTCGGTAAATGGACCTCTTAATCAATCCATCATCCCTGCGACTTATGAGTATGTCCACATATGACAGGCAATTGTTCTGTTCAACTTCATGTAATCCGTAAGTTAGCATGAGCACCATTGAGCCGTTCTACCAAATGTGTGAGCTGCTGCTCCGACGAACAGAAAGCCAAGATATCATCGACATATAGTTTGTAGTAGGGCGTCTGGGTTATTTCCGTAGAAATGCTGCTTTCTACCATCAGCCTGAAGAAAGCAGCGAGAACAGGATCTAATGGGCTATCCATTGCTACGCTGTCAATTTGACGGTATGGTGTATTCCGGAAGTGAATGTCTACGTTTTCTGTGCACAATAGTATAGATTCTCTCAGCAATTCAGTCAATTTTGGTAGCGAACAGTCACTGTCTTCAGCTAATTCGCACACGTATCCAATCGTCTGATGTAGCGGGACGTTGGTAAATAAGGATTCTACATCCAAGGAACACATGACTTTGTCTGACAGGTTAAGTTCATCCAGGTCGCCGATGAGTTGAAACAAGTTAACCAATATCGCCAGTGAGGTGAAAACCACGCCAAGTAATGAAAAATGTGCTAGCACAGCTCGATATTTTCAGTCCTTACGTGAAGTACGAGCTAAGGACGTAGTCATAATGAAACCAGATAACGGTTCAGGAGTAGTGATCATGAACAAAACCGAATACAATGAGAAGAGGTGTGTCATCCTCAACGATGCAAATAAATTCGAACGGCTTACGAAATTGAGGGACATAACCAATGCCGAAAGGCGCATAGTTCGTCACCTGGAATTGCTTCTCCCACAACGCGTGATAGACTGTGATACATTTAATGGGTTGAAGCCAAGTGGTACCACTATTCCACAGTTGTATGGGTCCCCAAAGACACATAAGAGTGAAGTGCGACTCAAGACAATCCTTTCAATGATGAACGCGCCCCGGCATCAACTCGCTAGTTAGTTAGTGAAGTTGCGCTCTCCGCTGAAACAACAGTACAATCCATACAGTCTTAAAGCAACGTTTCAACTCACCGGCGACCTGGGTGAACTTAACCTGTCAGACAAAGTCATGTGTTCCTTGGATGTAGAATCCTTATTTACCAACGTCCCGCTACATCAGACGATTGGATACGTGTGCGAATTAGCTGAAGACAGTGACTGTTCGCTACCAAAATTGACTGAATTGCTGAGAGAATCTATACTATTGTGCACAGAAAACGTAGACATTCACTTCCGGAATACACCATACCGTCAAATTGACAGCGTAGCAATGGATAGCCCATTAGGTCCTGTTCTCGCTGCTTTCTTCAGGCTGATGGTAGAAAGCAGCATTTCTACGGAAATAACCCAGACGCCCTACTACAAACTATATGTCGATGATATCTTGGCTTTCTGTTCGTCGGAGCAGCAGCTCACACATTTGGTAGAACGGCTCAATGGTGCTCATGCTAACTTACGGATTACATGAAGTTGAACAGAACAATTGCCTGTCATATGTGGACATACTCATAAGTCGCAGGGATGATGGATTGATTAAGAGGTCCATTTACCGAAAATCAACTTGGTCCGGTCAGTACCTGCACTTCACCAGTTTCACGGCAGTGCGATCCAAACGGACACTTGTGAAGACTCTAGTTAGTCGTGCCAAACGAATTTGTTCGGCCGACTGTCTGGACGATGAGCTAGTGTTAATTACAGCAACACTAATGGCTACCCTCGAAGATTTATCAAGAAACACAGACAAACGCGAGGGCCAAAGGACTTGGTGCACACGGCAGCCAAGAAGAAAGTGTATATCGAGTTACCTTTCAAAGGTATAATTTCGGCTGCACAAGGAAGTTACTATGCTGCACAAGTTGTCGTCATCAACCGAACCCGAAATTTGCCCATACCTCCAACGCAGGAAGCTCAGCCTATTGGGGTTAACTCACACTGTGTATACCAATTTGTATGTCACAGCGTGATTGTGCTTGCCTGTGAAGGAGTGTGGGCCAGCTCCGTTGATGAAACGTGGCTCCCATCCACATGCCCCCCGGTCTTATTCCTTCGAGTTTACTCTGGATATGGGGTGTGTGGATGGAGCTGTGGGTGGTGCAGCGCAAGCCACCCATGGTCCCTCTGTAGGCGCAGGCGTGCTGTGGCCGGTCACAGTGACAGCCAAATCCGAAACCGGATGCCGCCAACCATATATATATATATATATATATATATATATATATATATATACATACACGTATATATATATATATATATATATATCATTCCGAACTAAGGGTCCTCATTCGTCTTGATCAAGTCATCGCTTGGCCACCTCTTCTCCTCTTCCAGCCACACCCTCGACGCGCATACAGCGCACGTCGCGGGAGACGGTGAGCTGGCATGCGCAACATGTGACCCAGATGTCGGTGCCTGGTTGGTGCAATAACGATGCTGAGCGGTTCATTTCTTCTTCCTGCGCTATAAACAAGGCGTCGAACGTGTTCATTGCTCACATGGTGTTCCCATCGGACATGAACCAAACTGCGAAAGCACCGGTGATATGATGGCTTAGGTCTATTCTTTCGAATTCTGCTAATACATCCCGATGGAAATACAAGACGGGGCAAAAAGCAGCGGTGAATCTAGCCTACAATACGAAAAAACCAAGCTGAACAACTTTGGTTAAAACGACAGGGACAGTAGTTCAGACACGGTGCCCACACAAGATACGTCACCTCAGTTCGTAGACAGCAAGATTGCTGAAGCAAACAAAGTGAGTTGAGTCGGCCTAAGACCGTCGAGTTAGAAAAGAAAAATGTCAGACAACCACAGGGATACCGAAAAGCATTGGGAGTCTGCCTCGTATTTCCAGGACTAGAGGGGAAGACGCACATACCCGCATAGGCTAACCATGTCACGTCGATTGTCTTCATCCACAATGGCCAAGAAGCGTACGAAACAAAATTGGGGCACTACTTCAAGCCTTCCATAGGGCTGAGAAAATGTGCAGTGCCGACTATGTACAGAGAGTTGGAACGGCTGTCGAGAATTGTAATAGATGCTAGCGAGTGTTAAACTGGGTCCAATAGGGATTGTTCCGCAAAAGCAAAGGGATTCCGCCCGTCAGGAAATACACCCATTCGTTTATTTATGCTTCCATACCACTCCTTTAAGAAACGAACAAGTTCAGTTCATGCGATGAACTAGCTGTGCCCACCAAAGTGTGTTGGAGTCAGCTGAAACAACTTCACTTCTAGAGAGGAAAGTAAGGCAAACAGTAAACACAGGCTTACAAACAAACGTATTCAGTAGTCTAAAACAAATCGCATGATGGCCTTAAGACAACACAAAGTAAAACGTTACCTTTCCTTAGAACATCAGTGATGGAATATGTGAGGAAAACCGTAAGAAAACTGACAGTGATCATCTTAACGCACCATAAGGCAATTCTGCCTGTCACTGATGTGCAAATGACATTGGTGAAAGCAGCATATATCAAGAAAACATTTGGGACACGGCAGTGTGCGGCACACATTTACTTCTTAAAACGACGCACTCACGAAAACAGACAAAACCGAATAATTAGTTCCCTTGAGCGTAACGACACGGACGTGGATTTATGAAGAGCCCGAGCCCAACAGATTTTGAGCAGCCGAGTTTGCAACGAGGGTCATGCTGGGAGCTGGACCGAAGCCAGATTAACAACATGGTAGTTTCATTTATAACGCGACAGAACTATCAAAGCGGTCAGTAATTGACGTAAAATTCTTAATAAAAGAACAAGGAGTTCCTGAGGAACGTTAGCAAGGGAAATGCATGGAGAAATGTATCGAGTTAATTGATCGCTGACAACTACCAGTGAACAGCAGAAAAAGAAGCAAGCACATAGTGATAGCCCGTAGAAATGAACCTTGATATTCGTGTCAATGAGACTGAGAATGCAAGTTCGAACGGTCATTGACTTCTATTGCTTAGAATGCGCAAGGTCGTGTCCAAAATACACCTAAATGGCGCTGGCCTAAAAGCTGAGCTGCGCACTCATCGACCTGCCATCGTAATCAGACAAGAACCTGAAAATGATAAATGGACCTACGAAAGTCTAGGCAGTATAAATAATACTGTCTTAGTAGTGGCTGAGAGGAAGAACAATAAGTAAACGGAGGATTCATGCTGTATCATGAATGGGGCAAAGTAGGGAGATGCGGGAGAGAGGTGAACTTGTAGTGCACACACACATACACTATACATGTTAGCTAGTAGGAAACACAGCTACTGTGCCGCAATACCTAAAAGAAAAAAGGGAATAAAATGCAACAGGTGCAAGCCAGCTGAGCTCCCGGTAACGGATGGGCATCGTTCCGGTAAGCAACCTGCAGACTACTATGCAGTAGAAAAAGGTAATTTAGTATGCAAGATTATAAACTGCTAAATAATGAGAACGTGGTTGGAGGGGGAGGCTAAGAGAGATGGGGTGGGACAAAGAAACTCACAGCACGAACGCCACTGAGGTCGGCTCCTAGCCATATCAACAAGCGTATCCAGCCAAACGTGTTCATCGTCTTTCGGACCCCAACCAGGGAGCCGAGACGCTCCAACCGAGGCCAGCTTCGAAGTGAGGGCCTTCATTGCTCTGGACCAAGTCATCGCTTGGCGACCTCTCCTCTTCTTCCATCCACACCCCCGACGCGCAAACAACGCACGTCGCGGGAGTCAGTGGGCTAGCATGTGCAACACGTGACCGATCCATCGGAGCCTGGTGTGTGAAATAACGGTGCTGAGCAGTTCATTTCCTTTCCCTGTGCCGCAAACAAGGCGTCGAACACGCTCTTTGTTCACGCGGTGTTCCCACTAGATGTGAGCTAAATTGCGAAAGCACCGGTGGTCGAACGTAACTAGCCTCTTTATTTTTGTTCGTCGCAATCAGCCGACAATTCAGATAAGTCAACTATCTATTCGGTGCTTTTCCGGATAGGTAGTTGACTTATCTGAATTGTCGACTGATTGCGACGAACAAAAATACTTACCAAAATCCTTCTATTCATAAGTAATAGCCTCTTTATGTCCGCTGATCTAAGGGGCCAGGTTTCACAACGGTATATTAGGGTCGAACGTACCGCTACATTGTATACACTACCTTTCAGGGCGAGAGTGATGTCGCGCCGGCGCCGTAAGTGGCGAAGGTTAGCAAAAGCGCATCGAGTTTTTGCTATACGGTTCGTGATCTCATTTTCAATCCCACAGTCACTGATACAACTTCCCAGATAGTTGAATTTTGAACGGTTTCTAGATGATCCCCACCAGGGGTCAGCGAAAGAGGCGGTCCAGGCCAACCTTAGATGAAAGCTTTGCACTTCGATGGTGCAAAGCAAAGTCCGAAGCGGCTGACAGTCAGTGTTAATCTGTCCAGTGCGGCACAGTAGCTGAGGCGTTCCCCACCTCTAGCTAACGTGTATGATGATGATGATGATGTCCAGTGCCGCTTGGCACGTCTGGGAGCTGCCATGGCTGGGTATAGACCAAGGAATCGAGGAATGGTAACAATCACCCACAGCGAATTTCAGTGAGACAAGCAAGCCAATAAAGAAAAGAAGGGCGAGTTAGTCTAGTAAGATATCAGCTAATAAAGTCGAGTGACAGCTACGGTTCCGTCGCAACGAGAGTGGACCTTAACCTGGTGCGACGGTTTGTGTGCTTCTTCGACCCACTGGGATAGCTGGGTGGTGCCCCGGGCCTAGAGTGCATCTCACACCAGATTGGTCAATGGTCAGAGACCACACACTCAGTACAGACATTCTAGGTTAGGGTTCGGAAAAGAGACGTCCACTAATGTAAAGCCAGATCATTGTCATCACCCCACAGCCTTGTGGACAGACTTTTGAGCCAAAGGTTTTGATTGAGGACCCTAATCGTTCTCATGCTTCAGTCTGCGCGCCATGGCAGTAGTTCAGCCCAAAGTACAACAGTGACTGTTTCAATAAACTTGAACCACATTCTTCATCGGCCGTCATGTAGCTTTGCAAGGGCCGCCTTAACCGTTGCATATAACAAGGCGGATAAGCGAAAACGTGCTACTGGTGACGCTTTCCTTCTTTCTATGCTATTTGTCCCCCTTAGTCCCCTCCCGAGCAAAATTACTAACCTTACTGTAATCCCCAGGTCAGCTGATAACTGTAACTACGTTCCCGCATCATCCACTAGATTCGTACAGACATCAACCACTTATAAGGCCACACTGTCTTGTTTACCTGGTAACGAGCAACCTTCGCCTTCGAAGACAAACAGGCTGCAGTCGCACGCACGTTAGACACACTGGGTATTGACATATATGGTTGGCGGCATCCAGTTTCGGATTTGCCTGTCACTGTGGCCAGCCACAGGACGCCTGCGCCTACAGAGGGACCATGGGTGGCTTGCGCTGCACCACCCACAGTTCCAACCACACACCCCATATCCAGTGTAAACCCGAAGGAATAAGACCGAGAGGCATGTGGATGGGAGCCACGTTTCATCAACGGAGCCGGCCCACACTCCTTCACAGGCAAACACAAGCACACTGTATTTGGGGAATCAAGCGCACACAAGGCGGTGGCTGGACCGTAGTCCGCTCCACACTGAGTGCACGGAACCACTCTTCGAGCCTAGCACGGTCACAAGGACCGTGCATCCCGTCCCCTCCAGCAACGACCAACTGTCTCCTGGAGCCAGTATGGACGAGGTAGTGGGTAATAGACAGGTAGGCACCTTGTCAACATGCACATCAAGCGCAGCCACATCGGGGACATCAAGCAACAGCCAATCACTTGAAACGACAAAATGAAATAAAATAAATCCAATAATGCATACAGATACGGTGGCATAACTGTTCGCTAAATTAGCATATGAAGTAATTTGGTTAGCAGTGAATCCGCGATAAGGAAAAAGAATGTCCACAAGTTACTCAAAACTGCTACAAATGCAACAAAATTACCGAAGATAAGCGCAATTAGCGTAAACAACGTGGCCAGCTAATAGAAGACTATCCAGATAGGCAAAACAAACCAAATAAACTGGAATGAAATTTATGTAGCTTAAAGAGACCTAGTCTAAGTGTAAGTTGGTTTAGCCCAACTGCGGTGAAGAAGCATCAATAATGCAACATCAGCCTCAGCATGGGGCTGGTGAACATACATGGTTGGCGGCATCCGGTTTCGGATTTGCCTGTCACTGTGGTCAGCCACAGGACGCCTGCGCCTACAGAGGGACCATGGATGGTTTGCGCTGCACCACCCACACCCCATATCCGGTGTAAACCCGAAGGAATAAGACCGGGAGGCATGTGGATGGGAGCCACGTTTTATCAACGGAGCCGGCCCACACTCCTTCACAGGCAAACACAACAATATATATATATATATATATATATATATATATATATATATATATCATGACCGGTAAACACTCAACGGAGTGTCACAGCACATGATGAAGAACAACAAAAGGAGGAGTCCGAAAGAGGATGCAAAAATCCACGTGTTGCGTGGGCAGTGAGCTTCCCGTTTGCCCAAGCCGACGAAGAGGATTGACTTAAGGGAGCACACTCCGAGCCTTTGGTCTTAACGACCTGATCCGCAAGGAAGTGGGGCGATTATGAATCCTGTTGACAGCCATGTGGCTCATACGCCTACTTTGTGTTCTGTTGTAATCCATAGAGAAGCCGGTGGCTAGTCAGCTTGTTAACCTACCCTCCTTTAGATACTCACCTCCAGTTACAAAAGTGAGTGGTCAGTGACTCTATAGCCGGTCGCATTGGTTTTGACACAGCGTCGTACGAGCTCTTGTGGTATTTGATGGAGAACCAGGTAACCAGCTCAGAACTTCCCACGCTCTAAAACGCTGCTGCTTATGGTCTGCGACCGTTTATTCATCTCGCCTGC